AAAATTTAATTCACTATCACAAGTCAGAGGAGGGGTCAATAAATTTAGATCACAGGTTAGATCCAACCCATCCTCCGAAATAGGGTAATACTGGTTAGTAACTTGGAAACCATCTTGTTGTTGCAATTGTTGAATATGATCATTGTATACGTGAACATTGGGATTAAGGTGCGGAATGAATGTCTGATTGTCAATTGACGACTCATCCGAACTTGAGCTTTCCTCATAACTCACAGATCCATCACATTCGGTGATTGATGTTTCGGATGTATATGAAAGGTTAGGACTAGAGTTAAATTCAATGCAATCTTCTTCATCATTTTCAGATTCTTTACGTTCGATAATTTTATTAGAAGAATCGGAATTGGAATTAGAGTTATAATGTTTGTCATCTGATTTATCGTTAAGTTCAGGTTTCACGGAGAAATCAAGAGTTGAAATGTTGAAATTTCCCCCTTTAAGACTTAGGAAGAAAGCATCGCTACCTAATCCCGAATTAGACTTTCGACCCCTTTTACGATTTTTAACCTTCCTTCTCCCTCCGTTTTCAATGTTGAAATCATCAGTATATACCAAATCCTTTTTCCTAATATTATTTAATTCTTGTTCGACTTGCTTTGCAATTTTCTCATAAGCGGCTTTAACATCTTTACTTTCCGTCTTCCAACGAGAAGATACGAGTCTAGAGACTTCAGTCATTTTTAATTTGTTATTTCCTCTAAAATCCGCTAGATGGTCAACGAAAGCTTTACGGTAAACGAAGAATGCGTTTGGACTTTTTGAACAAATCCTTGAACGTAATCTTTTCTGCGCTATATCTGATGCGGTAATGGTTGGAGGAAATGGTAAATCTATGGGAGGAAGTTGATCTATGATAGGTGTGGTGGCGTTGCTGACAGCGGGTTTTACTACCGAAGAGGGTTGAGGAAATTTATGATAATGATGAATGATATTAACTTGAAATTTATTCATTATGAGGGTTGGGTGAACGTTTGATAATAATAACAATTTCAAAAGGAAAAAAAAAAAAAAAAAAAAAAAAAAAAAACGAAAAGAATTATTTATTTTGTTATATATTTTTTTTGATAACAAAAATTGAATTCAATGTGGCGTATTAATTTTTTTTTTTTTTTTTTTTTTCGAAAAGGAAGCTATCTATATATATGTATTTTTTTTTTTGAAACCAAATGTGATATGAACAGGTTTCAATGTTACAATATTATTATTTACGACAAAGAACTCGAAAAAAAAAAAAAAACAATCCTGAATCAAAACTTTTTTAGACTTATCCGTTGCTATCAGGAATAGTAATTCTCTGGAAGGTTACCATGGTGAGAAATTATACAATATATATACATTTATAACCTTGTACGTCACAAATTTCATTTGGGCCGTCTACATACGCACTTGTAAATTATTTGTTATCATTTAATCCCGAATCATACATTAAAATCATGTGAAATATGTGAAATGTTTCATTAGAACGAGATTTTTTAAAAAAAAAAACGAATACATCTTTTATTGTTGTGCTTCATCAAATAAATTGGAAGGTTTGAAAAAGGGAAAGAATCTTTATTATACGCGAGATTTCAATTCAATTAACCGATTTATCGAACAAAATGGTAAAAACACGTAAAAAAAATAATTTAAACCTGCTTTGTTCAATCAAAAAAAAAAAAAAAAAAAGTAATAATAACACGTTTCAACCCAATTCGACGCCAAAAGGAAGAAAGAAAGAAAAAATTTATTCGTAATTTCGGTTTATCTCTCTCTATTGTACTTGACTTCTTTGGTCGCTTTTAAGCTTCAAAATATCTAAATATTGTTGTTGACATATTAGGTAATTTGACCTCATTTTTTTTCACAATTGGACGCGAACAAGCATCACTAAATCCTTCCGCTTGGATTTTGTGGAAAGAAAAGATGCATAAAGACATAAATGTAATCAACGCCACACTATTATGGTTTTAAGGTAGAGGTTGTGTAACCGAACAAATAGAACACCAAAAATCGGCCGTTGCACAAAGATTATCCTGGCAACTCAGCCACCACAATAAAAAAGTTCCCATAATTGAAAATTGATTACCAAATTAAGATTACTTTATTTATATTGAGATCATCTTTATTTGACGAAGCAATAAATCTTATCATTGGAAGACTGTATCTTTATTTAGAAGACAAAATATCCATCTTAAAGACAGGAGTGAATGCTATTGATAAATTTCAAGACAACTTGAAACACATTAGCCGACCTTGATCAACTTTTTATTTTATCCTTAATAAAAAAAAATTTTTGCAAAAGAGCTGAATCAAATCAAACGCGTTTTCAAGCTTGGCAAATATTCTCTAAAACATTGTCTAATCCACAAATGGAATCCTATAATTATTTTTTTTTAGATTTGTAAACAAACATTGGCGAGGACTTTTATGTAAAACAAATTCATAAACAAAACTTCTTAATGTGAGAGAATACGTGATTTTAATACAGTAACAAAGTGTCATATGTAATCTTTATCAAGATAAAAATAGAAGAATGTGAGAAATGAACAACAAATAATCTTGGTCAACAAGGATAAAACAGCACATACTTATTGTAACCGGGAATAATTAATTTGTAACCTTAAAGATTCTTTCATCAAAGATATCAACCGGTTATTTCAAATAAAGAAATTTGTTTGGCGATCTCCACACTGTATTTGGAAATCTCATATGTTCGGTGTTTTCTTTATAATAAACGGAGGGATTCCTTTTTCCTAACACATGAAATGTCAATTTATTTTATTTGTTTTTTATTTGCTGTTACGCGATTGTGGTTTTTCGCATGGATTGAAAATAATGTTGAAATGATAAAATTTTCAGAAATTTTTATTAGTAAAACTTTCGAAAATCGTGCTAGTTAACCCTTAAATTTGAAGCGGCCCCCAATTTTTTTTTTTTGAAAAAAAAAAAAAGACGTCAAAAAACTGATAAATCTTTCAATTCTCAAAGAAAAAAAAAATTTAAATTTCTTTACATATAAGGAATATCGCGTACATATAAATCAATTAATCGAAATGTAACGATATTTTACTTCATGCAGTACCTCCGATAAAATAACGCGTATCCAATTATCAAGGAATCCATCATTTATACCTTGCAATACATATTAGTCAACTTCGAACTCGATTAATCCTCTTGATATAATGAAATGTAAGAACTTCGTTAAATTATTCGATGCAACAAAGTTTTACAAAATGAAATGTGGATTTTGTATGTTGGGAGTTGATCTTTCCCGTACAATGTGATGGCAGAATGAATTGTTGTCTTTTTACGTAATAATTTGACCAACTTAAATAATTTTGTGGCTGAAATAACTTAATTAACTGGGGCCCCGCCAATCGATTAGTCATGTATGGTATGAATCATCATCGGAGCTATTCCTTCTGTTCACCTCGCATTTGTTTGACATAATCATTTTACAAGAGATCATTCATGATAATGTTGTGAAAGTGTAAAATATGATTAAACGCATGATATTTTTTTTTTGTGATTTTACGCCCATTAGAGGATATGATCCCATATTTAAAAATACGCGTTCCTTATAACAAAGCAATGATGAAAATCATATCTTGTGAAATCAAATGATGTCTATGCCAATGAAAAAAAAATATATATACGTTTTAAACACAAAGAAAGTTTCAGAACTCATGTTCTAAATTCGTAGATTTACGCGCCGTATTTATCCCTCTCTTTTTTTTCTTATTGTAATCAAAGTACGACATACAAACTAGTTTGCATAAGTGTTTGCATGCGTGTTTTGTTACAGAATTAAATAATAAATATAATATTATTATTATAGAATTTCATTAAGTTACATTTTGCCAGTTTGTAACCGTTGAACCTTTGGATAAGACAACATCAAAGCCGAAAACTGCACAACCTTCACGAATTAGAAACGAATCCCTTAATTCTTATGTGCGCGTATGAAATGTCATGTGACACGTAACGTGTTCTCGCATCACGCCACCTGTGGCCAATGTGTGATCATCGTTCATTCCAGTCTTCTACAAAAAGCAATTTATTTGAAATTTCATGTTTGAATTCCCTAAATTATCCAATACGCCAAACCTTTTAAAGGATAATTATATCATGAATATAAATAAATCTGAACCATGTGGTATTTCCTACGGCGGGAATTTACGGGGGCTATCACGTATTTTAATTTTTTCTTTGAAGAAAAAAAAAAAAAAGAAAAAAAAAAAAGGTTCTCATTTTTACACATTAGAAACATCATTCGATAACTTTCCATCAACACGTTTATTGTTAATTCACGAAACCCTGATTTGGTAGTCTGGATTTTATTGGCAAGCCGCAAATAACTATTTTCGAACTAATGATTTTTTATTCATTCAATTTGATATCCCTAAATGGTTACCTCAATTACTACGATTGTCTCTTTGCAGATGTCTTTGGATTTACATGTATAACACCTATAAATATATTTTTTTTTTCAATCCTCGCTTATAAAAACCATTTAGATCTCCCCCTTTATTTTATTGGGCTCACACGCTTTTTGATTCTGTTGTTTTTGATTTGATCGGTAGGGCATCTCTCTCTATTTCCGTTCGAGTTCATTTTTAATTATTTTCGTTCGTAATCGTCGCAATTTTGTCCCTCAAAAACAAAAAAAAAACCAAAAAAAAGAAAAAAAAAAAAAAATAATAATAATCTTTTTTTTTTTTTTTTTTTTTTTTTTACGCTTTTAAATGAATTACCTCGGTATTAAAAATAATGAAAAAACTGTTCGATATGCCTCACCATACATTCAAACCATTTTTTGAATGCCCCGAATCAATTTCTAATACAACGAATTGGCACCCAACCACACTTACCTTCACTCCTCCACCAATTCAACTTCCTTTTCCTCCCCCGATCACTGCTCAAGACATTGTCCTCAAGCGTCCTTCTTCTAAAATTTGTTCAAAGAGTCCTAATGCCTTTTTTATCTATCGTAAAGCGTATTTTGATCAACTCGCTCCTTTGAATCAAAGGTTCAAAATGACGGATGTTTCAAAGTTAGTTAGTTTGTATTGGAAAAATGAACGAAGTGAGGTCAAAGATGCTTATAAAAAAATTGCACAGGAGGTCGAGTGGGAATTAAATGAAAGGAGAAAAAGAGATTTGGTCTACCCGGATATCAATCCGAATCTTAAAATGGCTCGGAGAAGAAGCAAAAATAGCCCGAATAATAATAATGTTTCAAAAAAAAAGTGTGGAAAGGTGATAACAACAGATAATCAAAATGGAAGTGCAATATTCGAAAGAGATGGATCCGAGATGATAAACCAACCAGGTGGCACATGTTTTGAACTCACTTTTGGTTCAGACATGCAACCTTTAATTCACTCCTATACCGTAGACTTTGAGAATTATTTGGTGTCGAATTGCACTCTTGATGATGTCGTCTCTTCATCATCTGATGAGCCTCTTGTTAACGAGAAACGTAATGATAAAGATCACTTTATGGCTTCAGAAACGATCTTGGATCAGAACGATGTTGATTATTATGTACAAAATAATTCCAACCTGTTTTTAGATGATAATGATAACGTTCTCGATCCGCTACCCGCACAATCTCAAAATGATAAGCCTATTGTCCCTGTTGAAAATGTCGCATTTGATGAGTTCTGCTTTGATGAGAATACCAATTTAAATTGGTATTTGCAGAGCTTTGTTTAAATTATGTTTACTTTATTACTTACTCTCCCCAACTATTGGGCCCAATTCGAAACGATTCCCTTTTTTTTTTTTTTTTTTTTTGGTCTTTTTTCACTTATGAACAATCACAGTCTCACCTTTATTGTAAGCTTCTTTTTTTTTTTTTTTTCCACCCGTCAAATTCCCCTTATTCGACTGTGATTATGAAAGATAAATATTTTTTTCTAAAATAATATGATAAAATTGTTACTTGGGCGGAATTTTTTTTTTTTTTTTTTTTTGTCTTATTATTGGACAATCTTTTTTTTTTTCTTTCTTCCCACGTATTAAGTTTAAATCTTCGTACTATATCTTTTTTTTTTTTAAAAAAAAAAGAGAATAAGAAATACCGTTTTATAAGCTACGCAACAAAATCAAGGTGATACGTATTTTGGGTTACAATTTTTATAACGATAAAAAAAAAGGAAAATAATCAAAAAGCGTTTTTTTCTTTTTTTTTTTCAAAAAAAAAAAAAAAGAATAAGAATTAACCACACTGACGCGTAAATAAAGTTAAGGAAAATTATAGTAAACTTTTATTGTAATTTACCAAATTTGAATTTACTTTACATTTTCCTTTCTTTCTTTTTTTGATGTTTTTCGAGTACAAATACTTTTAAGAACTTAAACTTGCTTATTCCGTCCAAAAATAAATGAAATCTGCAGTAAACAAAAATTCACCATATATCGCTGCGTAAATGTGTATTACGAACTACATTAGTAAAAAAGAGAGAACTTTCTCTACTTTCTCCAAGAAAATCAACGCGTATTTGTTTACAACTCAAAGTGATTTTTTTTTTTTTTTTGCCCAAAACTTAGTGTATTTCCAAATTTGCATCTTCCCCATAAAAAAAAAAAAATTTTTTTTTTTTCCTTGGTAAAGTGAACGAATGAAAATATAGAAAAATAAACTCAAAAGCGGGAAGAGGCTTTCTTTTAAGGTAACATGTTTATGTAAACAGAAATAAGCACATGAAAGCGACAAAGAGATACAGCGATCGTCGCAAAGATAATCTCCCTGTTTCATTTCTGTAAAGCATGTGGTTAAAGGTAGATGTTAAATAGAATTTAACTATTTTAGTATAAATTTCATCAGTTATCAAGTATTTTTGATCATAGAAAAATCTCCATAATTGTGTTAGAAATCAAATCCTTGGAATTACTTTATTTGACACAAAATAAATTCAATTAAATGTGGATGTCAATTTGTTTATCAAAGCACATAACAGGTTTTTCAATTTAGCCAATTGATGGCGGGAATTATAAAATTGGTAAGTTGGTTTGGGTATGTATAATTATGTACCGCATTTTGCAATTTGCTGATGGTCGAATTACAAATTTGATTAATTTTGGCTCACAGCTGGGGAATTTGTTTTTTCTCAATTTTTTATGATGACACGATGCAATCGCGCTTGAAGCTCTCTATTGTCGCATGCGAAGGTATCTCTGTTTTAAACAGATAATTTTACACGTCCGAATACATAAGATCTCGCCTTTAATTCAGATACCTTCTAAATTTGGAATTTTTGCGTAGGTTCATCTCTTGATATGTTTGTTTTGTTTTGTGATACCATGATTTAATTGTATACTTTTATTGGTCTTACATTTAATAAATATTGGTTAATGAAATTTTATTTTGATGGTAGATTATTTACACATTTAAAATAATATTTTATATAAATTTACAAAATTACGTAAAAAAAAAAAAAAAAAACTAATAATAAAAGATAGTAAGTATTATTATATAAAAAATTCTATATATTAAAATAAGTGTTGTTCAATTTACATTATTAAAATTATTTCTTTTTTCTACTTTTGAAAATGAGGATTGATTATTTTTTTTTATTTTTGATGGTGGTGGTGGTGGTGGATTAACTTAATGTATGCATATGGGGTGATCCTTGTTAAATTCATCCAATTGTTCATTCTTTGCGCAAAGTTAACCTAGCTCCGTGTGCCGACTGAAATCTTCATCCGAAATCAAAACACCGTGTGCCAAGCTTTATTGCTTCGTCATACTGCAACCAACTTGCAGTACTTAGGCGTAGGCCTATTGGCAGTGACCTGCTACCTTTCGTTAGGATTCCCTTCATTGACAGTGACCAGCTTCAATGATCAACTTTGATGCAAAGAATTTCACAAAAGAATATGCATTTAATTTATGCCACAGATTGTCGGAACAAAATTTTTAATTTAAATTAAGCTTAAATTAATTAATTAATTAAATCAAGGTAGGGTAGAAATATTGTCTATATAAATAAAAAATCTTATAAACTTAGAAACTTATAAAAATCTTAATTGTAACATTCAGTTCCACTCCTAATTTTCAACTTCTGATAATTCAATTCCATGATAAGTACTCATTATAATGATCCTCAATAAAACATCCCGGAGTTTCTGATACAATGCAAACGGCAGGATTATAATATTCGGATTCTTCGATATTGGTTTGGGAATCGTCTGAATTGTCATGATCAACATCGGTGAAAATTGATGCGCAAAAATTATCGGTGAAAGATGTACTCGTTGGTAAATAAACGCGGTCAGTAGTATTGTTATTAAAATTGAAGTGATTTTCGTAAAACGAGAAATCCGTACTTCTCGGACTAATTGGACTATTGTTGATTGTATTGTCAGATTCGTAGGTATCGGATGACGTAGATCCAGGAGATGCGACAGGGGTCATATTTATTATGTATGGAAAATATTCTGGATAATTTGGTGGTTGCCAGGTTATTAAATCGGGAATTGGATTATCGCTTTTTTGTTGTTGTTGCTGTTGTTGCCGTTGTTGTTGTTGTGGTTGTGGTTGTTGTATTTGTTGTGGTTGTTGTGGTTGTTGCATCTCTTGAATCTCTTCAACTTGCTCTTGTTTGATGCACTTTTGTTCTTGAGGGTCTTCTTCTATTGACTTTTGACCATAATTCTCGCAAACAATTCGATAACCTTTAATCGCTTTTCTTTTTTCTTGAAATTCTTTATCGATTTTTTGAGCCATTACTTTGTAAGTCTCCTTTACTTCTTTACTTTCATTCTTCCATGAGGAGCTGGCCCACTTGGAAACTTGAGTCATTTTAAACTTGTGCTGTTCAATTAACAGTTGTTTAACAAAGGCTGCCCTATAAACAAAAAATGAATTTGGGCTCTTGATGTCAATCTTTGTTTTAGGTCTGTTTCGCACGAAATCTTCCGCGGTAACGGCAGGTGGCCAAGGGAGTTTAATTTCAGGTGGGGCCTGAATGATATCATTAACCAAAGGATCAACTTTACGGGATTCAATGGTCTTTGAACGTTTTTTAATCTGTCGTGGCATGATTGATATTATTACCTTTTAAGAAAATTAAAAAAATTATTTTTAATATGAAAGAGGTAAAGAGAAAAAAAAAAAAAAAAAAAAAAATTCAAAAATTCATGATTATTTTATACCTTTTTTTCATCAGAAATGAAAGGTACTGTGGCTAGTGAAATTGGAAATCAATGGGTGATTCGCTTTAAGTTATTTCCAAATTCAATTCTAGTTGGAAGGTAACCCAAACTGTTATAACCGAGCAATTTATATTGAATTATACTTTAGGCTGTGATGATCTTCCTGCTGCCTTCATTCTCTACCATAAAAAAAAAAAGGTATGTTTATGTTGTATTTTAATTGAAGACAAAGCCATTGCCACGTTATGAGCGGCATTTTATGAGCACTTTTTTTTTTTTTTTTTTTTTTTTTTTTTAATAAAAACAAACGTTGTCTCGCAAATAAATCCATTCAATTATTTTTTTTATTTTATTTTTTTGTGGCTGAAAAAAGTGATGCACATAATTAAATTCACCAATCACGACTGAATTGTGATTATTGAGAAGAAATTTATAATAAGCACTTATAGGATACTTTGATGTTCCGTCTACTCCGGCCTTTATTTTAGATAAACAAGCGATAATGCAAAATTATATCAAAGTATTGTGAAAATTATGCAAAAAGTCGATATTCTATTACTTGATTCCTTTAAAACCTTCGTAAAAAATGTGCGAAATTCTTTTGATATTGTAAAATACTGAATTTGGTTATCTTTGAAACCATAATATTCTTTGATAGGTTTAATCAAAATAAGAATCAAAAAAAAAAATCTTCAGACACCTAAAATCGGTAAGATGATTCCTTGGTAAAAATAACTTTGCTATTTACGAGTTTGTCTGTAATATTAGGAAATTAAATGCTACACATCAAAAAAAATAAAATAAAAAAATCCACTTTTCGCGAATGGATATATTAAAAAAAAAATAGGTCTAGGCTTGCAATCTTGTGCAGCTTAAACTTCAAATGGTAATTTATTTGTTACGCGTACCCATGATTCCCTTATCAGAACGTACCCATTATATATATAATATGGGTTTATATTATGAATGACTTTGTATAAATAAATATGTATATAATCGCGTAATTAAAATAGATTTTTTTTTTTAAAAAAAAAAAAAAAAAAATTCGAATAAAAAAGACTAGATTTGTAATTGATTGTTACAATAAGCATCATTTTGCTTTGTTTGTGATTCGCGTACAAAGAATTATGTTGTGTACGTTTTAACTCTAGTTCCTTCGCGGCAAATTATAAACCCTTACTTCAATTATGGTTATTTTTTATTTTATTTTTTTATTTTAAACATAAACTCACCAAAAAGATTGATAAAATTGCGTATTCAATCGTACAAAAGCCTTATCGCCATATTTTCCCTTGGGCAAAGATAATTGGATATAGATAAGAGATTTGATTAAGACATTCCAGTTGAAGTACTAAACTAATCCAAATCGACTGAGCGACGCCATTGTATTATTAGTTTTATTATAGGATTTTTGAACATTACGCTGATCTCTTCAAGGACTTTAGCCCTATTTCATGCAGGTTGAAATCATGCCTTTCCGAAACCCATATGATGTAAAGTACCGAAACATGAACTTTTTTTCAATCAACTCACTCTAAAACCCTGAACCCATTCCC